CAAAGTCCGTGTAAACACGTTGGTAACTTACACTTGTACATCGCCAGCCTCCTACAAGAGCCACCTTTCCACCTTTGTGAAATCAATAATCGTAAATAAAAGTAATACTTACCAGCTGTGCATAGCGTGGACCATTTCTTAGATGTTCTTCATACTTTCGGAGATCGTCCATGAATGACTGCGGAAGAGGGGGCTCGTCGAGTGTCTGAGAACTGCCTGTGGGTACTAAAGCGTCCGGCTTCATATGCAGTCTCTGGAGTAACTAGTATTTCCCCTCTAAATTCTCTACAAACTAGTTTAATTAAAACATGGTAATCTACTCATTGAGAATGAGGTTGGCCATGTCCGGGGAAATTACGCTGGCCTTTGAATTTGAAGAGTTAGTTCTAGAAAGTAAAGTACATGAGGATCGGGGTCGAACTGCGTGGTTCTGGATCACCCACGGCGAGAAGTGTTGTATATGTGGAACTGCTGATAAATTCTAGATGGTGGTAATGAAATAAAACGTACGTTCCCCATATCATCGGAGGATCCGCAGGGACGGGTGGCGCGTCTTGAAAAGGAATGATACTACTATCCGAGGTAATCGGATTGGAACATCTAGAGACGAGGAATTAACAAATTGAAAAGTTGGTAGGTGCGGGAGAACCTAGTCTTTTTGGAGTTGGTGGGCTTATGACTATGTTTGCGAACAAAGTGGTGTCACTACTGGAATCACGATCCGACCCGTCGGTAAAATTTCCGCACTAAACCAAGACACACTATGCATGTAATCTTGTGGGAATCCAGCAATCATGAAATTTAACTCCTCCGTCGGACTTGGACCTGTATGGTGCTTCTCTTGCTTTCTGGTCCGGAAATCAGAGTCACAACGCAAGGGAGCTGTCAACGAGGGAAAAGTCACACGTATGCCAATGTGCACACCCTTTTGTGTACAATAATCACAGCCATAATATCCTGTATGTCCCTTCACTTGCTTCAGAAAGGCCCTAGCAGGACTGTCGCAAATAATGCACTGAAGACAGATGGTGTGAATATTGTAAACCCCGGAGACACCGTTCGCCAAGACATGCGTCAACTCAGCGACTGTCAGATATCAGCTGATGAGCGTCGTTGGGTTTTTGTTCATCTCATTATATTCCAACGACGAAAGGCTGACCGAGAAAGGGTGAAATCATTCGGAAGAGTATAGGCCACACTTGAGTACGCGAATTGTTATAGGTCCGAATACCGTCAACGTTCATTTGAATATCGATATTTGTGCGAATCTCACGGAGCTGTTGCAGCAAACCTGCTTTCAACCCAAGGTGGATGTACATTCCACCGGCCTTCTGTCGCACGCAGCAACAACGGGGATTTTTCATTACAGTCCGTGGACGAAAATAGTACCTGAGTTTGTCCAACACAACGGCTAAACCGGATAATGGTAGATTCAGCCTTCGCGCCATCCGACGAACAGCCGTTAAAATACTTCTACCTGGTTGTGAATGGTTTAAAAAGGATACTGATGAAAAGCAATATGAGTGCAAGCAGAACATACGGGCTGATCCCTTCAACGACTTGCACTGGGCTACCCTGTGGTAAAAAGCAGGAACCAAAAGGTTCTCCAGGGACCGCAGTGGTGAATGTCTTACTGGTTCCAAGGTCCTGATAACAGAGATCGGGGAAACCGACGGCGACCATCGTGGTAACTCACAGCCTAGTTTATCCCCTGACGATCAAATGCGGCATATCTAGAACCTATCATCTGATTACTCATGAATCGTACCCTCAGGTAGTCGACTTAAGGCATTATGGACGCATTCATCAGTCGGGCAACGAAAACAGCCACTTGCCGCAACCGCCTGTTTTATTTTCCCATATAGCATTGTTCTTGAACAACCCTTACGAGCAACACGAAAAAATTTCGGGCGCATTAACGATTAGTTGGAATGAAAAATCTTTTTGCGGTTTCGCTCACGTAAACACACCAGGAATAAAGCATATGAAAGAACAACAAGCAGAGAACAAGCAGAACGCAGAGCTTACCGCGAGCAATGGCGCCGCACACTAAAATAAAACCACTTAAATGGGCCGACAGTTTGCATTACGTAGGCACTCGGAAATGCAGCGTATTGTGGTTTTTTTATTACTGTAAGACAAATAAAGAAGCTTTGATGCCTATTACACTTGTCAATCTTCCGCGGCTTAAGAGCCAAAAATCAGTGCAGAAGTTCTGCACAGATTCCGCACAGGTTCTGCACCCAGGAGCGGGCGCGTGCTAACTGGGGTCCTTCTGAATGGTTATTCCATCACGCAGATTTAAGAGCTTTTACTGGCAATCGATGATTCTGAAGAGCGGTTCTGTACTTTTGCGCTCGTACGTGGACCCCAAGGTGTTTTTTATTGTTTGCTTAACTGTGCCTGTAACTCCCCCAGAAGATTGGAAATTCGAAATCGATTGTTTAGTGCGTTTTGCTGTTCTCACCGAGCAAGAAGGTAACAGCTGAACTGTGGTGTGTCCTCAGTTTTCGGCAAGTTTTGACATTTTATCGTGACTCCGGCGCGACGGACCCCTTAGTTTTCTGTCCCTTTCTTCTCTACACGGGTTTCCATTAGCACTGGGATTAATGCAGAAGAGGGATATCAGTGTCATCCGCGCGACTTGCTTTTTTGTCAGGGTTGCTGACAAATGCGCTTGCTGGCGAGTCTTCTTGTTTTTTTTTCGCTTGTTATTTTTCATCCGCCTAGGTTGCAAAATTTATTATGACCATGTGTTTGAACGTACCGTGCTCTTCCTTAACATTCGGCCGCCTGGAAAAGCGAAGTCTTGACAAGTTTGTTGTAGTCGGACAGCGAACACTACAGTCGCTTCCGGAGAATGGATTGTTTGCCGCGCCACACAATTTAGTTTATTGGCCGTCATTGCACTACTGTTAAGCATTAGGTTTGATGGCCGCCTGAGGAGTTTTTGGAACTGTACTCCAGACTGGATGAAACAGCGCTTTTCGGTCTTCTTGCGTAGATTGTCTTCACTTTCTGGAAGAAATCTCGATCAAATTTATTAAGCGTTGTCACTAGCCTGTTCATACATTCCGGATATATCATCAGCATCATCAAGGACAGCAACATCAGTGTTGACATTGATGCTTCACTGCCGGAGATGTCAGTGGCAGAAGTAAGATCCTGGGTGCATGTCTTGTGGGTGAGTTGAGGGATTAAAGTGTTCCCTCTGTTGTGCTGAATTTCAGCTTGGAAATCTACTCTGATTGTTGAAGATAGCTAATTGTCCTCGGTGACCATCTTTTTCGACGCTTTCAAACCCTATTTTCAGCGGTGGATCCCATTCTAACTATAGTAATGATACTTGGTTTTATTTGGGGATTGAGGCAATCACGTCGAAATTTGGCACTCGGACTGTCCTTTCGTGCTGCTCTGTTCGTACTCTGGTTGGAGTTTTCCCCTGTCCCTTTTTGTGCCTTCCGCGATCTTTTCCATTTTTGTCTGCAACTCGTAGATTTTTTGTGAGCTGTTGTTGATTAATTAATCATGTTTTCACATTCCTTGTCGGGTGTTTCAACAGATACGGAACGGATTGCTACATCAAACCACCCAATTTTTCCTAGATATCTCCCCAACATCTGAGGTATCTGGTTTCACCTATATTTTTTTCAAATAAAACTAATAAACGCGAATTGTTTTGCACAGTGTTTTGGGTGACGCGAGGTACCAATGAAGCCACTTACTCTATAAGGGAAGCACGTTAAGAATGATACTCACATTCATCTCTCAGAGCGGTTGATCTCAATCGTATCATATAACACCCATAAGGTGATCGATAGTAGGAAGTACATTATCTTGCAAAAGTACTTTCCGATAATCCCCAAAACATTCTCGATAAGCTTAAGGGTGGGGGCCTAGTGGGCCGATCGATTAAAACGTTTACTCCGGAACAACAGCGCCGGGTTCTTTCCTTATCTGGACTTCATCGTGTCGAAATCTTTCACCGGTTAGGTTGTATGGTATTCAGAGCAACAGGATGCTGGCCATCATTTTGACCGTCTGTTTTCCTTCTGATGTCAGTAAATGACTTAGGTACAGGCTGCCAAGTACTGCCAATTCATTAGGAAACCGTCACTTATTACTGCTATCCGGAGTATATAGGTTGCAGTTCCTGCCACTGAATCTCATATCCAGCTGGCTGCTGCAGCTCATCCTGGTCTGTTTGTAGCTTGTTTCGACTTGGGATACTTTTTTCACCCTCTTGAAATCAGCCCCTCGGACATGTTTGTCAGTGTGAGAGAACAATTCGCTACCTTCGGAAGTACTTGCTACACTTTGTGATAGTTCCTCTGGGGTCTTTGTTCATCGTCTACTGTGAGCGATGACTCTACAGTGGACGCATGCAGATTTTGCGAGTGAAATCGATGATAATCTTCTTCCCAGTGTACGGAATCATCGCCAGAGTTACTCGAGATGGACCGGCCTAATATTTTGGATCCACTGACATACGACAAGCGTTTTTCGTGAATTTGGATCTGAATCGCTGATACCCGTGTGAATCCGAGGGACTAATACCAGGAGGCAAATTTGCAGTGCCGAAGCATAGTAGCGTAGAGTAGAGAGTTTGCCGGACGAGCCTTTGTCCGTGCTAACCACAAGTGATGAGCTATTTTATTGTTGTTCTGGCTGCTTAGAGCACAATTTTATTCACTTTTTCAATGGGTTCGATAAATGCTGTGGACAGCCCAATGGCGGTTTCTCCGTTTTTTTTGGAGCTGAACGGTCCCTGAATCTACGTAGGTCATATTTTCTAGCTGAACAGCGAATTGTGCTTGTGCTACGATACCACTCACTAGACCGATACGCGCTTACTCTAGACGTGGATGTTTTTTTTTTGGGGGGATTTCGGCTTCAGCTTATGCTCGACACGGTAATTCTGGTCATTTCCTGAAGCTGATGCATTTCGCAAACTGAAAGTCGTGCTAACCATACGTTCTTCATTGTTCTTCTGGTTACAGGTGCGTGCACACAGGAGCCACCTTACTACATCGTTACGGAATTTATGTGCAATGGTAATCTACTGGACTATTTGCGATGTCGTTCACGGGATGAGCTCACACCACCTGTTCTTCTTCACATGGCCACACAAGTTGCCCGGGGGATGGCCTATTTGGAGCAACACAATTTTATACACCGGTAAGATGCTTTCATCGTCATTCAGGTGTGCTGTTTGGTCACACTGTTTCCCCTGGGGCATAGTCAGTGGTCACTCCCACGATCCATTTCATCTGGTGTGCGATTCAGGCAAGTAAAACAGCTGGTGCGCCCACGTGACCATTCATCTAAGGACTACATTGTCAGCCGACGTGTCTGCAATGGTAATCCGATATTATACGGTCGTATACAGGTATTTTTCCGTGGAGCTGCTCATTCTGGAGAATGTTCTTTCTTTTTGTACAGGACTTTCTCATAAGTTGAACCACGCGCATATTGTGGATAACTGTGTTGGCCTCAAGAAAATCAATGAATTTTCCGGGTGCGCGTGCCATGGAATCCAGAGTGGTATGACTGATTTTGCATTGTTACCTAGCGCTATATGGTCCCACGCAGTCCTTAATTAATGGGAGAGGTCAGTAGTACAAAGTGTAGTCTGAGCGATTAGGTTCCGCAGAATTGGTAGTGGGGCTTTTGCAGACAACGTATCTGTGATAGGCAGCGAACAAGGCTAGGAAGCAAGTAGTCACTAACTTATCATCCATTCACGGGCGTCACAAATTCGGTGGAGCGACATCTAACTGTGTGCTAGTAGTGAGTCAATAGCACTAGAATAAGTGGAACAGATGAGAGTGAATATCCTAAGTGGTATTGGAAGTTATTGTTTATTGTTGACTAGATCAGAGTAGAAACATGCCAGTCGGTTGTCTTTTTCATCGAAGATCCATTGTAAACCTTGTCACACTATTTCTTTCGTGTCTTATGGCGCTAGAAATATGGCTATTCCCGGATTTGTCGGCACTCCTTCATAGGTGTTTGCGCATGAATGTAGGGGCACTTTCCTAACCCGGACACATGATAACCCCAATGTAAGAGGAAGAATGTTTTCCGGGTCAACTATTCATTCCGACTTATCAAACGGGCAAAGGACAAGTGGGTTGAATTATGGGCAGAGTTCCCACCCACTTGGCGATCAATATCGGCTCTGTTGTGTAACATTTCCGTTCGTTTTTTCCATATTCCAAGTGTATCTTCGAGTCCTGTTTCTCATTGGTAATGCCCG